GAAATTCCAGCTGTCCGTAGTGTAAACGAGAAGCTCAGCCGGATTTGTCGTTGTTTCACGCTAGCCCTAAAGGCGACCGACAGTTCTGCTGTTAGTTAAATTATTTTCTTGACTGAGCGCTCCAACAAGTCTCACTTTCCGAAAAAATCTTTTTTTAAATCATGGAGAACACCATTCCCATTCAGGATGCTCTTGCTATTCAACAGATTAGGAGATCAGTTAAAAAACACGTACACGTGGTGCAAAATATTGTTATCGTCGTAGACTTACAAAACAACAACGCAGTCAGTCACTTTCATATCAGGTAAGTTCAAGTTCTTCTTCAGTTCCTGAGATACTATCTGCTGTATTCATGGATTCCTGTCTTCCCATACCAATCGTTCCATCGTTTTCCTCACAAGGAAATGATGAATTGTCTGGCAGTTCCTCTGAGTCTGAATTATCAAATATGTTTTTCGATGAGTCGTCTGAGTCAGAAGGAGAAGGTATTGAATTCATTTCTTAAGAAAAGATTTTTAGAAGTAAAACAGAGCTCATTCATCCCTATTCAAATATTTCAACATATGATTTTTTTATATATGGCTCGAGATAGCCTTTTGGACAAGAAAATTATCATCAAGTTTCTGGGCTTCATATTAAAAACATATCCACAACCGAATAATGTTCCACGCTCTTTCCAAGCGCTCATGAAAATAGTACCGGTTAAATCAAATTTTATAAAACAAGTTGTCTGTTCTCTGTGCTAGAATGCAATGTCTGTGGGCGCCCTGTGTCATTGTTCGCCGAAAGTGTCTCCCTTACTTTCCCAGGAGATTTATTCAGCTAATGTTGCTCAAGAGTTATCTTTTGTTGTACAAAAAGTGTGGCCTACCCTTTTTAGTTATGAATTGAAAGTAAAAAATTCTCCAGAAAAATGTGGACGAGATATTGTCACTGGAAACGCATACAAAAACATTTATAGTGGAAATATAAATCATACTTTGACTCTTTTTCTACGTGCAGACGGGATTCCATTATGTGTTAGTAATAGCAAATTAGCATGGTTTTTTTCTGCTGTGATAGTCGAGCTTCCCCCGCAGTATGGTAATTCATTTGAAAATATGCTTCTTCTACAGTTTAGTATCGGTCTTACAAAACCAAATTTGAATATAACTTTGCATTCAGTAATTAGACAACTCCAAGAATTAAAAGAAAATGGACTCAGTCTTTTGTTAGATGGTCGCAGAGTCTTTTTTGAGGCTTATGTGAAGCCTCAAAAAAACTCAGGCAAAATAACACTGTTATTTTTGCTTAGCTCCAGGATTATATGACCATGAACTTCGAAAGGTGTTTTATAATACAGTTGGGAATCACAAACGAAATTTACAAGATCATTATGGAGATGTAGATCGTCTTCAGCGTTCGTTTCTACATCTGCAATCTTCATTTCTACATCACGAAGACGCGCTCGCGCTAAAAAAGACCCCACATCACACGAAGTAAAGGGTTATCTGTACTATATTTCCTCATCAAATCTGTAATCAAAGCAGTGATCTCTCCGAAATCAGTGAGACATAATTGCCTCGTCTCTGTTGAACACTTAAAGAGAAAATGTATAGTAATTAAATCAAATGAAGCTGAAATTTATACGCCCTTATTTGTATGTTTTGAACACGATTGGCTTTTTTCTTATCATATTGTTTTTCGTACTCGACTAATCGTCGAAATTTTGGTTTTATCTTGTTCTGTATTAGTGAGTAAGTGAATTAGACGTCTCTTCTTTTTTTGCTTGTTTACTTTAGAAAAATTTATTTTATTTAGTTTTTTGTTTCAAAAAATATATATATTAGTGAAAAAATACCATAGTTTCTTTCTCAGCTATCTTCCTGTGGTAGAAGTCATAAGTATGTGTGCAATAGGAACTAAATGTTAAATTGTCTCATTTCATGTAATTTGTAACAATTTATTTATATTTTTTCGTGGATTATATTCTATTATGGCAACCGAGAGTAAGAAGTCATATCCAAGAAGAACAAATAGTTTTCAAGAAAATTAATCAATAAACAGTCAACTCATGATCAATCAGACTGTATATTGTCTGGTGTTGTTTGTAGCTGAAAAAACATACAGTGTAATTGAAAAAGCAAAAATAAAATTCTGTGAGAAACATTTAGGCATGGGTATAGTTTGAGACAAAGGTCAAGAACATCCAATGGCAATCATAGCAGAAGGTAACTATAGATATGCCTATACTATTCCGTTTTAGTGTGTTTTCATCTTCATCATATCATTCTTTTTCTGTACTTTTTAAAAATAAAGTAGATTTTTCTGTTCTTTTTTTTTGCTGAGAAGTTCAACTAAACTGAAACTGCAGATTACGAGCTCACTGAGTTTATCAAAGGAGAGTATTTCGTAGGCGTTCCCATTTAGAAATACAATCTTCTGTTCAAGAAAAGATTCGAAGTGTGTAACAATAGTAGGTCTATTATACTGTGTAAAAAGGAACGAAGCATAACTACAGGTTTTAGTGCCTAAAATACCTTCATTTTCAAGTCCTTAAATGAGAAGTTGACTCGGAGTTGTCGTCACTCCTCCTCCTTGAGGTGGTGGTGTTAAACTATGAATACTACAATCAGGTCCTGAAAAACCGGGTTTACATTCACATAAACCAAACTGCAACTTTCCTGTTGATCTGCATTCACCACTTCCTGTACAGTCATTGATACATTTGACTGGACTATCTGTATATCGATCTAACGCTCGCTGAATCAATTGTTGTTTATTCGCTATTTGTGAACGATCGAGTGGAAATCGTTTGACACTAATAAGATTGGTAATCGGTTTAGCACTGAACTTTAGAGCAACGGGATTGTCTGGTACAGTCTGTAGCCAATCAGTCCACGTCTGTTTCGTACGAACATCATAGGGCTGACCACCCATTGTACTGGCATATTCATTTTTCACATACTTCATATATTCAGCGTGAGTTTCCTTCTTGTATTCCGATGATTGTGACATCCCAAATGAAATGATAAATGAAAAGCCAGCTTGTTTACTCTTTTCTTCATTGTCCTTTCGAATGCTGATGTTCTGAGCTCTTTCAGTGGTTGTCAGTTGTTGTGCAACACCGCCTAGAGAAGAGAGATTTCGTTATACACGATTACATTTTAGAGTGTCTCTTCTACAGACCTAATTGTACTTCTGTCATATAACTGATTCCGAAAACTTCAAAGACATTTTGAAGAATATAATCTTCCGTTTCGTGGTTCCAGTCACAGCAGGGCATATTCATGATCGTAGCATAGAACTCATCAGATAATTTAAGGCTAGTTTCAAAACTTCTCAATTTATAGAGAATTGTTGTCATGTACGTGTAAAACATTGTGTAGTTATAGATATAAATATCGTTGAGTATTTTCTGAGTTTGTTTCGATTTTCCAAAACTGATGCCGAGGAAACCAACGTTGCCACCTGAACTCTTCGTCATACTTTCGTACAACTCCTTATAGCTGTCAATTACGTCGGTTTTAGCACGTACGTCAGTTGTCTGAATGCAAGATAGCTGAAACAAGAGACACGTTTCAGTGTTATTCACTTTCGATAAGTACACAAATCTTTACCGTGACATGTTTCGGTATCAGTTTGTCTGTGCAAGTTCCGACGGGTGTCTCTGTGTAATTGTATTGAAATACTGGAGCTCCGTATCCGCCAATTCCACATTCACTCGTGAAACACACCGGCTCTGCTTTCATCGGATCATAACCAAGAAATAGAATGTTTGAATTTG